GTAGATCGTCTGCAGCTTATCAGATGTCGTAAGACCTCTAGAGACATCTCCAAACCGCTCACGGACGGCAGACAGAAAATCACTCAAGTTAGTGATGTCGAAGTATGTAACCATATCATTGTCACACTTGGCAGCGTGGGAAAGCGACCTCGCAAAACTGGCCGCTTCATTTTTTAGTGCCTGAAAGGCCACAAGAACATGGTTCTCTGGCGCAATGTTTTGTAAGTGCAAATAGGACTTGATATTGGCTTTCCAATTATCGAAGTCCTCTCCCTTCTTCCTACTATAGGGTTCAGGGAATCTGGCCTTAATGCACTCGCGGCGTGGCCGTTATCTTGGCGCCTTGTATAGCACCTGTGCAGAATTTTTATGTGCCTTCTACCACAGTGCGCAATTCGTCGGCAACAAGCATCATCATTTCGCGTCCAAATTCCTTGAAGCCTAGGCGCATAGACCGTAGGGCAATGTTGTGGCCCCTCAGATAGCGCAATTGTTCCTGTTGGGCTCTCAACATGACTTCCACATTCTGGGATAAGAGTTCTACTTTCCTACCCAGATCAACTTGTGCTCGCAGCTCCCGCTGCTGCTCTTCGGCTGCTCTCAATTCTCCTTCCATCCTCTCAGTCGCCTCCGGTCGCCTCGTTTTTCCCCTTGTGAGGCGTAGTTTCCACTCCAACAACTGCTCGTCCTCCTTGGCATGTCGGCGTAAGGGGTCTGCGCACAACTCGGATTTCAGGTCTACCATGCCACACTGAGCAGCCCGCCGGTTTGTACCGGTCCTTGGGGGTCTTGTCCCCGGGACGTGTCATTCGTCAGACATGGCCTTTATCCCTACTCAGCCTGTGCAGGTTTGGTCACAACAGCTCTACGACCTCATGCACAGAATCCTGACCTAGACATAAGTGACTCAATGTAGAAAGAAGAGAGACTGACTTCAGCAAGTACCAAGGTATGTGCACATCCAAAGGGCTAGGGGTAGGCTTAAGGCTCGGCGAGAGCATGCCAACTCCAGCTTGGTCAAGTCTTGGTCAACGCCAGGTCGGTCAACTCTTTGACCTCCAGCTAGGGCGGCCGACCTCTCTCTCTCGTCAAACCTTCTCGTCTTCTTCCCCCTTTCTTTCTTCTTCTCGCCCACCTTGGTTATGGCTTCCTTTCTTCTCCCTTGTCTCTCCTTCCTTCTTCTTTCTCCCTTCGTCTTCGGTTGCTCTGGCCTCCTACTTCTTTGTCAGGTCGGAGCTCGGCGGCCATGGCCGCCACCTCTCTCTCTCTCTCTCTCTCTCTCTCTCTCTCTCTCTCTCTCTCTCTCTCTCTCTCTCTCTCTCTCTCTCTCTCTCTCTCTCTCTCT